CCCCGCCGCCCCCCACCACCGCGGAGACGAGCAGTGGGGTGACCTCCACCACCATCACCACAAGGTGCGCTCCCACCCTGGGTGCCTGGTGGGCGGGGTCTTGTCACCTGGGGGACCTGGAGGGTCTGCTGTCTGAGTGTTTATGATCCCAGCGCCCAAGTGACGGAGTTGAGGGGGCAGTGAAACTGTCCTAACAAACACTCAGCAGCGAGGCCTCGGCACTTAGGGGTGAGCCCGCGAGCACCCCATGCACCCTCCTCCCAGACCTGCCCTTGCCCATGTGCAGGCACCGCAGTTGGGCAGAACGAGGCCGGTTCGTGGGGGGGGGGGAAGCTGCAACTTCGTGCAGTCGGTGCGAGTGAGTCTAATGACCATTGACAGACGGGGGCCTGGCACCAGGGCAGCTGCAGGCGCATGAGAGAGCAGGGCCGGGCCAGCACCCGTCTCGGCCGCCTGTGTGTGTGTGTGTGTGTGTGTGTGTGTGTGCGCGCGCGTGTGTGTATGTGCTGAGTGAGCACGCGCTAATGTCGTTTAGGCCCTGGCGGCTTCTGCTGGAAGGCAGGCTCTCCAGATGCGTGGCATCTCTGCACAGTGACCCACGTCCCAGCGCCGAGCAAGTCTCGCCCCCACGTACAGGAGGACGGGTCACGCCAGCCAGCTTTCGTTTCTAAAATATAACAAAAGTCAACACTTGACTTATTCTTGTTGCTTCTAAGAATTAGCTGGTCCTGGGGGGAAGTGCCAGCAAACACGAGCCTGATGTGTGACTTCCGTCTCATGTCTGCGGTGGGCCATGGTGCTCAGTCCCTGTGGGGCAGGGGTGACCGTCAGCGTCCGCGTCGTCTGCGACCACAGCTCCCTGGGCGTGGTCTGTGCCGGGTGCCTCCCTGTGACCTGACGCTCCTCTCCGCAGTGCGCTCGCTCCCGTGGCCGCCATCATCCCCCCGCCCCCCGACATCCAGCCCGTGATCGACAAGCTGGCCGAGTACGTGGCCAGGAACGGCCTCAAGTTTGAGACCAGCGTCCGTGCCAAGAACGACCAGAGGTGAGGTGACGGGGTCAGTGCGTTACGTGATGGTCACGAGGGTTCGTGTAGCTTCTTTAAAAAAATCTAGCTGCATGTTTTTTAATGTTTTTAACCCTTATGTATTGAGATAAATGCATCTTGTGATGATTATGTTAAATTACTTAGAGTTGGAGTGGTGATATATTTTTTTTTAAATATATTTTACTGATTTTCACAGAGAGGAAGGGAGAGGGATAGAGAGTTAGAAACATCAATCAGCTGCCTCCTGCACACCCCCCACTGGGGATGTGCCCACAACGAAGGTACATGCCCTTGACCAGAATCGAACCCGGGACCCTTGAGTCCGCAGGCCGACGCTCTATCCACTGAGCCAAACCGGTTACGGCTGGAGTGGTGATATTTTATTGCGTTACCTGTTTTACATTGAAGCTACCTTAGGAATTCAGGCTTTTCAGCAATCTGCTAGGGAAATTTAGACACATATCTTGGGGTGTTGTGTGGTTTTTTTAAATCAAATCATGTTTTGTGCCTCAGCAGTAAGACAACGCGAGGTTGGGTTTTGAGCGTGATGCGTGTGACAGGGACAAGCGATTTGCCTCCGTGCCCCCAGCTCCCTTGTGTATAAAGTGGGCGGGGCTTCCGTGGGGCCACAGCGCAGAGCTGTGGAGGTGATTAGTTAGTGGTGGTGACAGTGTCTGGCTCCCCACGGTGCACAGTCACCACAGCCGGTCACCGGGCTGTGTGTGTGTGTGTGTGTGTGTTGATGACCCACCGGTTCCCTCTTCTGTCCGCAGGTTCGAGTTCCTCCAGCCGTGGCACCAGTACAACCCCTACTATGAGTTCAAGAAGCAGTTCTTCCTGCAGAAAGAAGGGGGCGACGGCGCTCAGGTACCTGAGGGTAGAAGGCGGGCGGGCGGGGCAGCGTAGAAACGCTGCTGCCCAGGGCAGGGTCTGAGCTGCCGAGTGGTTCTCAGCCCTGTTCCTGTCTGCAGGCCGTGTCGGCACCAGAGGAGGCTCCTGCAGAGTCGGCCCCTGAAAAGCCCAGCGACGCGGGGGAGGAAGGTGTGGCTGAGGACGTGGCGGACACAGGAGGGAGAGGCGGCCCAGGGGGCAAGAAGGAGTCGGCGTCCGGGAAGGCTGCCCCGGACGGGAAGCTGGTGAAAGGTACGCTGCCTGGCCTCCCAGGCGTTCCTGACGTTCGCACTCGCCGGGTGGGGCTGTCCCAGGGGCCGCGCGATGGCTTAGCCGCCTGCTCTGCAGGGCAGGGCCCGAGCTGAACGTTTCAAGGGATTAGTCTCGGACTTCAGAGCCTAATTGACATGCAGACGTTGTCCCCGGAAACTGCTTTCTCCCAGGCAGGACTCCGCCATTCAGTCCAGTTCCCTTTATGTTTGTGAGGGACAGACAGAGGGACGTGACAGCCAACACAACAAAATAAAACAGGAGGAAAGCTCCTGGAGGGGGCGGAGCGTCCCACCCCCCGGGGGAGGGAAGCATTCTGAGCCGTGTTGGGCGCGGCCCCAGGCGGAGGCGCTGGGCGGTGCAGTGGGCACGGCCTGGGAAGGTGACCATGGCCGGCTCGCGGGGTTTGTTGCTCTGGGACATGAGCGGGCAGGGGCCCCGGGTCCAGGCGAGAGGACTGATGTCCAGTGGCTGCTGCGCAGGGACGGCTTTGGAGGCTCGATGCCTGGAGTGGAGCTAACGGGAGGAAGGGGAAGGGAGAAGGCGGTGCCGGGAACAGGCTGACGCTCCGCGGTCCCAGGGGAGGCAGGGGCAGGGCGGCGAGGACTGCACGTCTGTGTTCAGCAGAAGCCAGCCCTCCGGGGATTCAGTCCAGAGCAGAGAGAAGGGCACGTTGGGGTTCAGTGGCAGTGACGCCAGCAGAAGTGTGTAGAGCGGAGGCTGGGCAGCAGCCCGTGCTGGGAAGGGGGCGCTTCCCTCCCCTGGTCTGAGCCTGAGAGCTGCAGGCCAGCCGGACAAGCCTGCCCCAGCCCAGCCCAGCCCAGCTCTGGGGAAGCACAGCCTCTCGCGGGTGAGGAGACAGTCGCTGCCGCAGGAGTCGGGGCCACTGGAGGACACGCCTGAGCCACGCAGCACGGGGCACCTCCAACAGTTCCTAAGGAACGGGGAATTTTACATCTAATTTGTGTTCTCACAGAACTGGAGAGAGGATCAAACAAGTGCGACCCATATTGACACCTGGGAGAGGCCGCTTAGAAAGGGTTTTAAGCGTAATGAGAGCTCTAAGCTCGGAGGGGGTGGGAAGGCAAGTCAGCAGCGTCTCAGATCTCCAGGGGAAAGGGCGGGACGGAAGAAAAGGCAGTGGCGGAAGCACAGCAGGCTGTCCCCAAGGGGGACCAGTTGGCCGTCAGACCGAGGTCTGTAGCTTTAAATGCCAAACCATTAGCTGCATCTGAAATGTTGGGTGCAGACCTCCACAGAAGGCAGCTTCGAAATAATTAGTCCAGAAAGCGAGCACTATGAGAGCATTTCTTATCAAAAAATTATCAAACGCAATGAAAATGTCAGAGAAAAACCTGGTGACACAGACTAAATTCTACCCGTGAGTGCCCCCCGCCTGCAACTGCCTGTGCATCACAGGGCTCGCTGGCTTAGCAGGAAGCACCGGGAGCAGCCGGAACCCGCCTGGACGTCCTCTGCCCACTGAGGCGCGTGGGGGGCCAGGAGGGTGCCCGCTCTGCTTTGTTACCTAACGCGGGTCTCCCTCTCGCTTCCTCCACAGCTTCGTTTGCTCCAATCAGCTTTGCGATCAAGGCCAAAGAGAACGATCTGCTTCCCCTGGAAAAGAACCGGGTGAAGCTGGACGATGACAGTGACGACGACGACGAGAGCAAAGAGGGGCAGGAGAGCGAGGG